CCTAGCCATATCGGCCTAGAAAATCGCAACTTTTCATTTTCCTTCGATCTCAGTACATGATATAACTACAGAAGGGTCAAGTTTAAAATAGGAAAAATATAGAAACTCTTTGATCATTTTTGAGCGAGATGCTAACGGTCTAATCAGATTCAATAATCTATGCTAAGCTAAGCTAAAAGTGCTACGCCAGACCCGGAGATCGGCTGAATGGATTCGAAAACGGTAAAACTCAACTGTTTAACTCTAGGGGAGTTGGAAAATGAGCCTATTTTCAAAAATAGTGGAGTGTTCCTTTAAACAATTTGTAAATGTCCTGTGCTCTCTGATAGGTTGTAACCGTGGCTGTGTACAGTTTCTTTTTGGCTTGTCTGATTGGTCGGCAGTTCCTCGACCCCGCCCAGGATTACCCGGGTCACAACCTTGACTTCTACCTGCCCGTCTTCACCTTACTGCAGTTCTTCTTCTATGTGGGCTGGCTCAAGGTGTGTTATCTTATTAGCGAAGTATCACATTAGTTAGGGCTCCACTCCACACTCACCGTCCCTAATAACTGGTTTTATCGAATAAAATTACTGTTTAGCTCTAAATAAACATTGCCTAATTATATGGAGTTCAATGCAGCTGACATGACATACACAAAACTTGGTTATACATACAAATTTAATGAAACACCACTTTAATAATGGTTACATCACACTGATGTAATGTAGCTACATCATCTTTAACAAAAAAAGTCAGAAAATAATTGCATTGGTGTGTTTTCAGGTGGCAGAGCAGCTCATTAATCCATTTGGGGAGGATGACAATGACTTTGAGACAAACTGGCTGGTGGACCGTAATTTTATTATATGTTGGGGTGGGATACTAATGACATGTTTCTTGATCTCCTTTGTGTCATTCTGTCTTGTCTTGCTCTGTGGATTTCAATTACAGCATTGCAGTTTTCAGTTACTGATGCCATTGTAGAAATACTCATGCAAGACTATTTGTTACACAATATGACTTTATTTTGCACCTGAAAATATCTAATAATACAATATATTATTATGATATAATGGAGTATTTTTAGTGCACTTTTTTATACCTGCATCAAATCTTTAGTTTTGTGTCACATGAGCCAACATTGCAGCATTGCTAAGGTGTTAAACATTAATATTTCTCCTTTTTGTAAGCACCTGTGCTTATACAAACATAAATAGATGTGTCTTTCCCCCAGGTGTCTCTGCTGTCAGTGGATGAGATGTATGATCTGGTTCCTCTGGTTGAGAGAGATAAATACTGGGATGAATCTGAACCTCAGCCGCCTTACACAGCTGCCAGCGCCGAAAACACTGCAAACCCTCATTTATGGGATCTGCTTTGGACATCAGGTGACACACACACACACACACACACTTACTTAAACCCACCGATGTACAACTACAGCACACACATGCACATTTTGGGTTCACAAACAAAATTCAGTCAAAACATGCTTCAGATTTTTATTAAAAAATCTTTTGTAGATTCTCTTGATTCTATAGCCACTTTTTTTTTACTTCTGTAATGTGACATTTCTAAGTGAAACAGGATATTCAGCTGAAAATATAAACCCCCTCTATATATAATGTGTTAACAAGTAAATAAAGGTTAAATAATTGAAGGTTAAATAATGATGATCTGTGGTTTTTTAAAACAATACCAGATACTGATAACAGTAATTGTAATTTAAGTGATTTTCTTATGTCAAGTAATTAATTTATTTTTCTTATTTAAGGCAGCACATGTGATTAGGGTAAAAAACTCACTGATTGATTAGTACATTACGACAATTTATTTGTATTACACGGTTTCTAAAATGTTATGTTTAAATATGCAAATGAGGTATCATCTAGTTAAAGGGATAGTTCACCGAAAAAATTAAAATTCTGTCATTAATTACTCACCCTCATGTCGTTCCAAACCCGTAAGATCTTTGTTCAGCTACGGAACACAAATTAAGATATTTTTTAATGAAATCCGAGAGCTCTCTGACCCTGCATAGACAGCAATGCAACTGAATTGTTTCCAGGCCCAGAAACGTAGTAAGGACATCGTTAAAACAGTCCATGTGATATCAGTGGTTCAAGCTTAATTTTACGAAGCTACGAGAATACTTTTTGTGTGCAAAGAAAGCAAAATAACGACTTTATTCAACAATTCTTCTCCCCGAGTTACCGTCTTCCGCCATTATGGAGAGTACCACGACACATGCGTCTATGTTCCTCTGCATGTAAACAACATATGCGCGTGGTGCTGCTGACGTGCTGCTGCTGTTGTTTACGTGCAGAGGAAGGAATGCACACGAATGCGTCGTGGTACTCTCCATAATGGCGGAAGACGGTAAACATTTTCAGAGTGTTTTGAGGAATTTTATATTAGAAATTGTATACATAAATTGTATGTTATATAAATCAGATGAATGATATATGAACAAACCTCTCTGTAAAAACCTTCAGAATATATATTGGAATAAAATGGTTTGGTGTACATAAATGCTGCTGAATTGGAGAAAAACTCATTTTGAGAAAACTGCCTTTAAAGATATGTATTATAATGAAAATCTACAGATGTAAAATTGGTAAAGTGTAATAAAATAATCAAAAACATGAATGCGTATTTTGGATGTTTTCTTTACACGAGACTTGTCATGAAAGCAAAATAGCCTAAAATAACAAAATTGACCAGTGAAAAAACAATGGTTTGCATGTAGTGGCTTGCCTTAAATTATTATTATATGTTGGGGTGGGATAATATTACGGATTTATGCTGTATGTAATGCATGTTATTAAAGTCTACTGTGTTTTACAATCAACACATAAGGCTTTTTGGCTAGGTTTAAAGGGGTCATATGACGTTGCTAAAAAAAGAACATTATTTTGTGTATTTGGTGTAATTAAATGTGTTTATGTGGTTTAAGGTTCAAAAAACATTATTTTCCACATACTGTACATTATTGTTTCTCCTCTATGCCCCGCCTTTTTGTAGTCTACTCTCCCAGGCCCAGGAAACAGTCCTCCATAAAATGCGTTGCACACACTCAAATATTTGTTCTGAAGTGTTCTGGAACAGTGTTGTAAATACAACTTAACCACTGATTTCTAGTTGTGTCCTCTTTTGGAAGGCCAAACAAAGTATGTTCGCTTTCGCAAAGAAACACAGCGTCTCCACAACATGGCGGCAGCAGCAACAATACTACAGCGAGAATCAATGTTACGCCTTCTTTCTTTGCATGAACATTTGGGCAGTGTTATGCAAATCTTCCCACACAGTGACGTAGATATGTGGGGGCGTGTTAGAACGAGGCATTTTAGGAGGGTGTGGACTTTTATAAAGAAGATCTCTTTGGGTTTGAGACTTTAGTCTTTGCAACTTTACAGATCTTCTTTATGCACCAAGAGCTTGTAACACTCCAAAGAGAAAGGAAAACTTGAAATCGCATCATATGACCCCTTTAATAGAAATAGAACTGTCAAAAAAGTAAATTTTTATTTCATGGTGACCTTTAACCAAGTTGCATAGATCAGTAAAAATGAGCCAGGCAATATTTTTTTAAGATTTAAAAGCACGTTTTGTCTAACATAATCAAGGTCACCGTTCTTTCTCTGTCTCTCAGCGTTCCCAAAGAGGAAATGGAATTCCAGCACAATCTGGAGCAGATTAAAGAACACGAGGAAGCCAATCATTCCACTCCATTTCTAGGCAGCTTGAGTCGCATTCTGAGCGTCCAGTCACCCAATTTCCCCCGCTCTACACCCACATCCCGAGTCTCCCTCCTGCGGCGACGTCCCTGTGCCCCCTTCTCTCGCTTCCCCCTTTACCTCCATCCCGAGATCTCTCCGATGCCCAGCCACGCCCGGAACACTGACATGGAGGACGCATTCTCATCCATGCCTCTATACGAAAGACCCGGTTTCTACAGTTGCCCTCAGATGCCCATCCACTGCGTCCCTCCGTCCATTCCTCGCCCAAGACCACGAAGAGCACACGGCGACAGCTCCAGCTCCCTGGCGCATCCGTTGATGGGCTCGCAAGTCCTGGCTCCGCCTGACATGCCCGCTCCTCCTTCCTCCGCCTTCCCTTGGGTGGGTGAAGACAGCGAACATTCGGGTCCCGCTTTCTCCTTTCCAGACCCTGTGCCCGAGATGTTACCCAAAGTATGGCAGAGTCAAGGGTTGCCGTCGCGCCGCCCCCTGCCTCTGCGACTCTCTTCGGAGACATCCCCATCTCCGTCTACACCCAAAAGGGTGTTTTCTTTCACTCCTCCAACTTGGTCGCAAGCTCAAATCAATACCGCCAGTTCAGGGAGTGTGAACGCAGCTGCGACTTCAAACAGCAACAACAACCTATGCAACGGCATGACAAACAACCCCTGGCCAATCAGCAGAAGCACCACTGCAAGCACAGCCAATCCCGTCAGCCCAAGTCCCACAGCGACTCAGCAGACAGCCAATCAGCACAACTCTGCCAACGACTCTGGCATCTCATTGGCTGAGGGGGATCTGGTGGGTGCTGCGGTGAAAACGAAGGAACAGCTCTGAGTTGGATGGAAAATACCAGCCTAGACCAGCATGGATTCTCTTCCAGACTGGTTTAGAGCTGGTCTAAATGGTTTAGATATGTTTATCTTTGCCTTGGGTGAGTGAAGATACTGAACATTCGGGTCCTGCTTTCTCCTCTCCGGACCCTGTACCCAAACTGTTATCTAAAGTATGCCTTAGTCAAGGGTTGCCATAGCACCTGGACACAGCCCAATCAACATTTACACCAGAGAGGGTGCTTTCTTTCACCCCTCCATTTTGGCCGCAAACTCAGATCAACACCGCCAGTTCAGGAAGTGTGAATGTGGCCGTGACGTCAAACAGCAACATTAACCTGTGCAACAATGCGGCAAACAACCCCTGGCCAATCAGTAGAAGCACCACTGCAAGCACAGCCAATCCCGTCAGCCCAAGCCCCACGGCGACTCAGCAGACAGCCAATCAGCACAACTCTGCCAACGACTCTGGAATCTCATTGGCTGAGGGGGATCTGTTGGGTGCTGCGATGAAAAAGAAGGAACAGCTCTGAGTTAGGTGGAAAATACCAGCTAAGACTAGCATGGATACTCTTCCAGACTGGTTTAGAGCTGGTCTAGCATGTTTTTGCCTACATTTAAGACATTTTAAGAAACCTCAGTAGCGGAAGTCGTCATAGCTGGGTAAACGTCTGCAGTGGTGAACAGAAATTCCGATTTGCCCCAACAGCAAAAGAAAAAAAAAAAAATCCACGGTAGACTTTCTGACATTCTAAAAGAGGAAAAAAATATTGAGAGATTGATTATGTTGAGAAGTGAGGAAGATGTTTAATTGCCATCACTCCCTTAGCTGTTGTATTAGAAACACTCATGCAGAAACTAGTTTTAAGTTAATGGCAAGGTCACAAAACACAAAGTATAGTGCTTTTTACAAAATATTAACATTTTAGATTACCTTTGCTAGATTTATGATGTTAATAACTGTGGAAATACGCCATCATAGTCTATAAAAAGGGTAACATGCATAAGTTGATAAATTCCATCAATCAAACGGATAATTTGACATGGTTTCCAGTCATTATTATTATTATTATTTTATTATGTTATTATTTTTTATTATGCTGTACAGTATGTGGGTGGAGACAGGTCTCATAAATCAGTAAAATCACTTGAACTTCTCAGTCTTGTTTATGTAACTCAGTGGTCATGTGATCTCCACTGTCACTAGTATAGTTTCCATTTGCATAAACATTGTTGCAGAATATCTAAAAATATGTATTTTTTAGATTATAAAACCAAATTGTATAAAAAAGAGAAGGTCCAGATCCACACAGAGATCCATTCCAAACAGCCAGTGGTGCAGAACAAACCTCCCAAACACAATGCATCATGGGACTGTAACAGAATTAAACGGTTTTGTACCAACCTGTGCACTTTACACTGATTATTAATTTTCAGAATGAGATGAAAAGAGGGTAAAATCAAAGCCCTGGTTATTTTGGCTTGATTTTACTGCAGAATATTTATAGTCGGCATGCAAATGTTGAACATGTTTGACTTTATTATTTTTGCCACTCAGAAGGTATATAAACATGCATTTCTTCTTTATTTGTATGTATTAAGAGTAGATATTATGGCTACGTACCCAATGGAAAACTAGCATATCGTTTTGTTTTGCAGTGCATTCACATCTAGATTTTTTTATTCATCTATTCTTAAATATTTGATATAAACTATAGGAATTTTCGTGACCTTCTAGGCCTGTGTGATTAAGTGCTATTTTAGTATCATTAATATACTATTATAGTTTTTTTATATTTTCCATTTTAATTTTAGTTTAAGTTTTTGTAATTTTGTTGTGTTTTGGTCTAGATTTTTTTTTCTGGCTCACTTTCACTTAAAAGCTTAAATAAATTCTGCATCTATTCTTAAATAATTTATATATCGGAATTTCCATGAATTTTCTAGGTCTGTGTGATTAATAAATCACATATTAAGTGTTGTTCTAGTATTAGGGATGCACCGATACCGATACTGGTATCGGTATCGGGCCCGATACTGGCC